GGGTGTCGTCCGACCCCACGTGAGGAAAGGGGAGAAGGCACCATGATGAGGCGAGTCCTGCGATGTCCCCGCAGGCCACAGCCGTGCCAGTGCTCTGGCTAAGGGATGGTGCTCCTTTTCGGCTTATGTCCTTCTCATCTGTAAGGCCTGAACTAGTCCGTTCTCAAACTGCTTAGGCCCAGGTCACTCTTGTGCCCTGGTGGTTACACCAGCAGATCCCACATGGGTGACCACGTAGTTCCAATCCCAGATCTGGCACCATGAAAACACGCCAGGTGCTCGTGTGCCAACCCCGACAGGATGAGAAACGAGGGGAAGGGATCGCGGCGTGGCTGGGTCCTGCTGGGGCGCCTCCTCCCTCTGCCTCGCTCCGGCAGGCACACACACCCTTCGGCAAGTAACACACAGACAAATAAATATAAACACTCACGCTAGAAGACAGGCAGTCTCCCAATTCATTTTCTGAGGTTGGCAAATAAATAGATTGGGGATGAGCATATGGTCATTTTTATAGCGCAAAAAAGGGACTCAAAGTTCTATAATTCATTCATCATTTTTTTAAAAAGTTTAAAACTCTGGGTCCAGGGCCAACTAGCAGCACAAAAGTTAAGGCAGCTGGACCCCACATGGCCGATGTGCTTTTTGAGGCCTGGACCCGGGAGCTTGAAAAGCACACCGGGCAGGTGTGTGAGGGCCGAGAAGCCGGAGAGGAGAGGGAGCAGAGGAGTTGCAGGTCACAGTGGCCGTGCCCATGCAGTGTCTCACTTTCTTCTCTCTCCCTGGCGAGTACACAGTCCATAGCAAACTAAAAAATGGAAAAATAAAATTAATTAATTAATTAAAATCTGGGTACAGAAAAGAGGATCTTAATTGGATAAAGATCTCAAGACAATTAATGCCACAGTGAACAGCTGACTCAGCGAATCGCTGAGAGCTTCCCCCTCCAGGTCGTGGAAGGCAGGAAGGTGACTCAGCACAGCCGTTATCCAGCATCGTTGGTGGACCCCGAGGCCCTGGGGGTGCGGCAGAGAAAGGAGAAGAGGAAGGAAAACCAGAGCATACAGCAACTGGAAAAGAAGAGAGGAACCTGGTTTTCAGAGTATGAACTCACGTACACAGGAAGTCCAAGGAGATGCACCTCCACGCTACTAGAACAAGAGGCGTGAGTGAGCTTGCTGGGTACGGGGACGCTAACTCCAACAGCGGATTCCTTTTCATTTATCTTTTTACGTTTTTGCTGCAAGATGTGTGTGCTCACCAGAGACAGAGACACAGAGAGAAGGACCCCCCCCCCAGGGGGGACGGCCACGCTGCAATCCCTTCTCTTCCATTCTCCTCTCAGGATTTTGGGGATACACACACACATGCTGGTCTGTTTTTCAAGCCACCAGGTCTGGGACTCGAACTTTCAGCAGGTCAGGTGGGGTCCAGCTGCCTCGACCTCCACACCATCTGCTGGTCCAAGTAGCATTTTTGTACAAGAAGCAATCAGAAAATAAAAATGTGTACATGATGCAGATAGCACTACGGATAACAGCACCCTCAACAATATCACGTGCCTAGAAATACATCGTCTCTCAAAGTCTAAGACCGCCACCAGACTTTCAAAACATTGTGGAAGGTGGAGTTAATTGGGATCATAAAATATCTTTGAAAGTCATGCATACCTTTGCATACTACATATTGTCCGTGAGCATTTTGCATTTGACCTAGTTTTCGGCTTGCTGCAAGGCATGTGTGGGACCGAGAGAGGGAACGTGAGCGGCCGCCCCCGCTCCCCCTGGAACAGTCTCCGGTGGACCGGATCTTCGCCACGCGATTTTTATAGCTGGAGCTTCTTTGTGTCAGATGCTGGCGTGGCTGTCGAGGAGCGGGCTCTCAGGTGTCTTTAGCATCAGCTAGGTTGGAGAACCAGTGTCTTTTCCAAATGAGTCTGTTTTCATATAGAAAGCGCATTACCTACGTTCTGAGGGGAAAGCAGGGTGGGGGGGATTGCCAACACGTCTCGAACCTGCACCTCCCGCCACTCTGCGCGCTGTTTGCCCAGTTCCCGACGCCCATCTGTCAGGACCGAATTCGTGACCTCCGGACTTGGGATGCACAGATGAGTAATTACAGCCGCTGACCCAAGCTGAAGATGAAGGGAGGCGTGCTGGCGAGCAGGCGGACCACAGTGTGAGAAAACTGCCTCGGAGCACCTCTGTCCCACGCCGCTGTAGTCCAAGGGGCATGAGGAAGCCTGGAAGTTAAGCCACCCTCAGTCAGGTCCCCTCCAACGCTGCGCAGGCCCAGCCCTGGGCCTGTGCCTCCAGGACGCACCGCTGTGCTCACGGAGCAGCGCACGCTTCCTTAGAGAGACGGCAGAGACACACCGCAGCCAGCCAGGCCGGGCAGTTTACTGCGCCCCGGAGCTGTGATGAGAGTGTGCAGATTTTGTTCTTTTCCAACAACAGCGGGATCAAGACATGTACGTTTTATAATCAGCCTTTTTCATCTAATTGCTGTGAGCATGTTCCAAGATAAAAAACTTCTATCTGCAAGCCCAAGTTAAACAGGCACGCATGCTTTCACCGTAAGAATGCTGTCACGGTAGCACTCTGTCCCCGCGCTGTGCTACCGCAAACAGCCTGCAATGGCGTTTGATTGCTGAACCTCTGTGCGCATTCTCACGGCAGTGACACAGGTCTGAGACGGCGCTCACAGATCTCCCCAGCTCGATGGGTTCTGTCGTCCTAGGGTTTAGTCCTGTCCCTGCAGGCGCTTAAACTTCGTCAAAGATGCATGTGGTGTGAGTCAGGGCAGATGAAGAGATTCTAGCCTTTGTCCCCTGCACCAAATAAATAAATAAATAAATACAACTAAAAGCATAAAATTACAATGCCCCTGGGAGTGCTTCAGAGCACATTAGAAAGGTGCTGCAGTTTAGTGGCACACAGAGGCTGAGGCTGGCCCACAGGGACAGGCAGGGAGCGCTTGGTCCGCACTGCCCTTCACCCAGGCCAAATGCCATGGCAAGCAGGCATTCACTTCGCTGCAAGCTCCCTGATGGGGAGAAGAAAGCGAGAGGGGCCGGCGCGCTCCCCACCTAGGACCCCCACAGCCTTCGCCACCCAGGGCCACGCACTGCGGAGGCATTGCCCCCGGAGGCCCCACCCCTGCCGCAGGCAGTCCTGGCACCCAGGGGAGGTGAGGGCCCTGCAGTGCACAGATGCCAAGGCCACCCTACGGTGAGGACAGCTGGGGAGAGGCCCTGTGTGCAGCCTTGGCACCATCCTGCTTGAGCCACGCTCCCTGCGGCTTCCCGACTGTGGCATGTTCTTCGCTGCAAATTTGACGTGCTCTGACCTAACTCTGAGCTGGCCAGCAGCATGTCTGCCTCGTTCAAACAAAAACCAGTCTGTTCTCAGGGGCTTACGTTCTCCTTCAGAGAAAGTGAGAGCAGGACCAGCAGTTAGTAATGGCTATGTCGCTGGACTCCCACGTAGTCGACCGCGGTTCGCGTCCCGGACCCAGGGGCTTAAACTCATGCCGGGCGCGTGTGCGTGCGTGCCCAGGATCCTGAGAGGAGAATGGAGGAGAAGGGATTGCGGCATGGCCATCCCCCCGGGGGGTGATTTCTCACTTTCTGTCTCTGTCTTTTTGGCGAGCGCACGTGCCCTATAGCAAAATCTTCTCTAAACAAAAAAAGAAAGAGAAAGTACCAGTGAG